GGATTAAGTTGGGTCCTAATCCAATAACGATCTGGTGTCCATATAAGAATAGAAGAGACACAGAGACAGACACACAGAGGAAAGAGGCCAAGAGAAGATGGAGGCAGAAATCAGAGTGATGCGTCTGCAAGCTGAAGATTGCCAGGAGCCACCAGAAACTGGGTGTGGCAAGGAGCAGACTGCCCCCTAGAGCCTCAGGAGGAAGCATGGCCCCACTGCCACCTTGATTTCCAACTTCTGGCTCCCAGACCCGGGAGAGAATAAATGTCTGCAGTTTTAAGCCAGCAGGTTTGAGGTACTTGGTTATAGCAGCCCCAGGAGAATAACACGCTGTGCCTTGCCTGTTTCCTCAGGACCCAACCTGCAGCCCTGGGAATGCCCCGGGTGGCCTGGCCCTTACCTGCAGCAGCTAGCTCCAAACCAGCTGGGAACACCTTGCCTGCTGCTGTCACACTCTGTCTCCAGGCCTGTGGCTGGCTGGGGCCTCTCCTGCCCACTCAGACAATGCTCTCCTGCCCCAGCGCTTCGCCCCACCAGGTGGGCTCAGAGCCCTGGCAGCCTGACTCGGGGTCACTGCTGGTGCCATCCCCACACCCTCGGAGGGTGGTTCTCAGCTGCATGAGCACCCACAGTTGCCTCTGGGAAACCCCCAACCCAGGAGGCTGGGTGGATATGACAGGAAAGTCAGGGAATGGGAATTACATCGGGGCCTTGCTCCTTGGTTGTGTGACCCTGGACAGGGCACTGCATCTCTGAGCCTTCTGCCTCCTCTATGAAGCAGACAAGAGGACACCTACCTGGCCATGTCACTTGAGGATTAAGTGAGTAACAGATGGGCAGCTCCCAAGATGAAAGCCAGCCCCTTCCCCTCACCCCCTCTCACATCCCAGGTCTTCTATCAGCCAGGGGGCTTTACCCACCTGCCCTGCCCTGCAGCAGACCCAGGTAAAGGTTCTCAGCTCCTTGGCCCAGAGAACCGCCCCCAGACGGCCCTTTGCACAAGGTCACTGCAGTTCTCTCAGTCTTCCCAGCCTATCCACAGGCTGCTGGGATACAGGAGCTGGTGACCACAGGCCCCATCCACCCTGGGGATCTGTTGGCCTGAGCTCCCACCAGCCATTTTGGCAGCTCAATGGTGACAAACTACACTCACATCTAACCTACTCCAGTCCAGGATAAGCCCACAGGGAAAACAAATAAAAAGTCAAGAGAGAGAAAATTACAATGTAGGTAGTGAGGCTGACTTACCCAATATCCTACTAGATGAGCACAAGCCCAGGAAGATATGAGGAGGAGGGTGGCCATGGTGGTGATGACGGTGATAGTGATGAGGGTGGTAATGGTGATGATGGCGATGGTGGTGATGGTAATGGTGATGTTGGTGATGATGGTATTAGTGGTGATGGTGATGATGATGTTGGTGATGGTGGTGATGGCAGTGATGGTGATGGGGATGGTGATAGTGATGATGTGATGGTAATGGTGATGATGGTGATGGTGATGATGAAGTGGTGGTGATGGTGATGGTGACTGTGATAGTGATGATGTGGTGATGATGTGGTGGTGATGGTGATGATGTGGTGGTGATGGTGATGGTGACTGATGGTGATGATGTGGTGATGGTGATAGTGATGATGGTGGTGGTGGTGATGGTGATGATGTGATGGTAATGGTGATGATGGTGATGGTGATGATGGTGATGGTGATGATTGTGATAATGATGATGGTGATGATGGTGATGTTGATGATGGTGATGGTGATGATAGTGATGGTGATGATGATGTGATGGTGATGATGATGTGATGGTGATGATGGTGATGGTGATGATGGTGATAATGATGACATGATGGTGATGGTGATGGTGATGATGGTGATGGTGGTGATGGTGGTGATGATGCTGACAGTGACGATGCTGACAGTGACAGAAGCTAGATTCGATTGATCACTCAAAATATACCGGGCACTGAGCTAAGAGCTTTCCCTGTGCTTTCTCATTTCATTCTCACAGTCACATCAGGGTGCACTAGTATTATCATCATCCTAGTATTAATCCCATTTCACAGGGAGCACAGAGAATTTAGGAACCTGGTCGAAAGCGTCTCAGCTGGTAGGAGGCAGAGCTGTGCTGGAATCCTCCATTATCTCCACTCTCATTCCCGCCTGCACCTCTGAGTGGGAGCATCTTGCTCCACTCCAGTGTTGAAGGCTCAGCATTCTACACTCCACAGGTTCCTGTGTTGCAACCCTGCTTTTCCAGCTACCCTGCTGATGAGAGACCGAGGCAAAAGTGGCTGGGGACCACACTTGATGGGCAATTTATGGAACTTTCAAGAGAAGTGTGACTGTGCAGGCCAGCCTAGAGTGCAGCATTGAGAACTGAGCCCCACATGAGGTGCAGTTCCTCTGGGCCACTGGGACTTCTATAAGAGGAAGCATGAAACCTTAAGAAGGTCACAGACACACATTGACAAGGATCCAGTGAGCCGATGGCATAGAATCTACTAAATCCAGCCACTGCTGCTGCCCCAGGCTCCTCAATAACAAACTCTAACCCCAGGATCTCGAGGTCCGGGCAGCAGGCGAAGTCACGGCTCTGGCCATGTCTTTTTCCTGGCCGGGATACTTAACAGCTGGTGCCTGTGATGATGTCACTTAAACTCCCTGGGTCTCAGCTTCTCTATCTGTTCAGTGGGTAAACAGCACCTGTCTCACAAGGCTGTCCTAAGAATTACATGAGAAAACAGAATGACCAAGACATGAGTAGGTACTTCCTAAATACGTAGGTACTCATGCTATCTCCCTGATAACCATTTTCAAGAAATAGCAGGTAGCTATTTCTGAGAAGTGCGACTGTACACAGCAGCCTGCAGTGCAGCCTTGAAAGCTGAGCCCCATGCGAGCTGCAGTTCCCCTGGGCCATCGGGACTTTTACAAGAGGAAGATAGGATGAATGGAGAGATTAGGGGAAGAAGGACTTAAGCCAACAGTCTAAAGTCTTATGTTTAGGAAAATTACAGAGAGAATTTTAAATGACAATTTCCATCTAGGCACAACTTGTTTTCCAAAATTACAACAAGTTGCCAATGTTATGTACTTCGTTTTCCTTTTATCTGGTGAACATAAGGAAGAACAAACAGGAAATGTACAAGAGTGAGAATAGGAGGATAAAGCAGTAAAAAGGTCAACTAAGACCACCGATAAAGCCCTTACTAAGATAACCTGGATAAGACACACATCGTTATCCTGAGAAAATTCAGATCATTTAAGGTTCCAGGTAATTTTAAATGGATTGTCCAGGTTCGAAGATAAATTTTATTTCCAGAAAATGAGTACTCCTTTTTGGGCTACGGTTGCTCACTCATTTTTCCTTAAATGCAAATTGAGCCACAGGGGAGAAGCAGGCTGTAGATCTCTTTGTGGGAGCTGAATGAGTGCTTTCATTGCAGAAGGTAGGCTGCTACAGTAGAAACGATAAACTTTGGACTCTCGTGAAATTTTGATTACATTCCAGTTCGGTCCCTTAATATCTGTGTGACAACAGTTAAAAGATGCTGTCCTCTGAGCCTCAGCTTCTTCAAATGCAAAAGGAAGATGCTAATATCACCTTCCTTCATAAGCATTAAATGAAATAATGTCTTTGCAAACACCCAGTATGCAGCCGAGCACACGGTAGGAATACATAAAATGTAAGCTTTTACCCTCCCCTCAATCAAATGAATCAATACATGTCCAGCCTGCCCTCCAGAGTTTAAGAAGTTTGTCCAAGGTCACACAGCGAGTAAATATGCAAACCAGAAAGGGACCCTACCCTGTGTGCTCTCTAATCCACAGTCCTGAGGCCCTCCTGTGTGCTGCTATGGGGGCTACAAAGACCATCACGTCTGGACCTTGCCCTCAAGGAGCTCACAGTCTAAAGAGGGAGAACTGAAGTTGCACGCACAGAATTGCCACCAAGGAACTGTTGTCACCTTTGGTGCTGCAGGTGAAGTGGGAGAAGAGGTGACTGCTTCCAGAGGAGAGGGACCAGACTTCACAAGCACACACGAGTCCTGTGGCACAGCGTGTTGAAGATCTTGTCTAGCGCGGGGCCTGGCAGTCAGCAGGAACTCATTGGATGTTGGACAGATGGATGGACAAGAGTGAGTGGACAACAAGGGATATAAGGTGGCTGGTTAGCTGCCTGGCCAGTGGCCAGAGGGGTAGATAGATGAACAGATGGTGTGGTGAATGAGAAGATAATGGAATATGGCTAGACAAGTGGGAGGGTGAGTGCTAGGGTCTGAATGGCTGTGTTCCCCCCCACTAAATTTATGATGAAATCCTAATCCTCAGTGTGAGGTTGTCAGGTGGTGGGGTCTTTGGGAGGTAATTAGGTCATGAGAGTGGAGGATTCATGGATGGTATTAGTACCCTAGAAGGCTCCCTCTCCTTCCTGCCCTGTGAGGACCCAGTGAGAAGGCCCTCCCCCAACACCAAATCTGCTGGTGCCTTGATCTTGGACCTCCAGCCTCCAAAAGTGTGAAAATAAGTTTCTGCTGTTTATAAGCCACCATCCATGATATATTTTTTTTTTATAAAAGCCCAAACAGATTTCAACAATGGCAAAACAAGTGGTTTAGTAAGTGAGCTCATAAGTGGCTGTGTGAACAAGCAGCTGTTAGAATGAATGGGAAAATGACGCTGGGTAGGTGGGTGAGTGGTTGGATAGGTGGATGGATGGATGACAGGCAAGTGTGTGCATCTGAGGATGGACAGGTGGGTGGACACGGTTGGTGGATGGGTAGTGAGGTGGGTATGCACTGAATGAGTGTGTGAGGTTAGATGGAAGAGGGGGTGGGGAGGTGAGTAGATGCAGTGAAGGATGATGGACAGGGCTGGCAGGGTTGGATGGGTGTACGAAGAGGAGCCCGGGAAATGAATGGGTCCAAGACTTGACCAAGTGGCTGGAGGAGAAAGAAAAAGGCAAAAGATCACTCCTGCCCTGGGTTGCTGCCACTTACCAGGCTGCAGTGACCAACAGGGGCCTGGGCTCCCAGCTCCTCTCGCAGGCGCTGGTTCTGCTGGGCAAGGTCCTCCATCTGACACTGCAGGCCGATCTCTGACAGTTTCAGCCCATAGATGAAGCAGCGCAGCTCCTCCAGCTGCCCGCGGAGCTGGCGCTCTGTGGCCCGGTGCTGTTGCAGCCTGTGCGCCGCCTCCTCTCGCTCACGCTCGCTGCGCTCTGCCCTCGCCTGCAGGGCGCGCAGTTCCGCAGTCGCCTCGGGGGTGCTCTGGAGGCCCGGGGCCGCGATGTCCCGCTGGGCCAGCAGGAGGCCCGCGGCGTGGCAGAGGCGTTGCACGTCGTGCTCCAGCCGCTGCACCTGCGCCCGCAGGACGCGTTCCTGCTCGCGCACCAGGCCCAGCTGGCGCCGCTGGGTCAGCCGGCTGCGCTCCAGGGCCGCCGCCTGCTGCCCCAGTGCCTCGTCCTTGCGCCGCAACCGCTCCTGCAACCGCCGCAGCCGCCACTGCTGCCGCCTGGCCACGCTCTCCTTCTCCCGGATCTACAAGTTGGCGGTGGATGAGGGCGTCAGCAAGCCCGAAGGACACGCCATGGCTCACATTGATTCTGTCTTGACTTAACATTTCCGTATTTTGTGCATGGTGTGTTTTTGCATTTTGTGCATTATAATAGTGCATCAAAATATTATCTCTTTGACTGTTTTGCATCATTTTAAATTTTGCATGGAGGCAAGTGTCTCCCTCACCTCATCCACCCTAGTCTAGGCCCTGCACCCTCAAGAGCTCCCTGAGTCCTGGGAGGGAGCTGTGCAGGTGACAGGATGGCCATCAGCGAGTGCACACCCTGAGGGCCGCTGGAGATGTCCCGATACTGAATACATCCGCACCTGAGTGCACACAGCTGCTCCGGAGCCTCCCGGGTGTCCCCACTTCACCCCAGAACTGCCCAGAGGTCCCCATTTCCTATCTACAGGGTCAATGCTTGGCCCACCCAGGGTCAGCTGGCTCCAGCAGGTGAGTCAGGACACCAGTGCCACAGTAGCTGTCATTACTGTGGACACTCCACCTGAAGGGAGTTATGTTACTAGCCTGAAGGATACTCAGAAGTGACTTGCATATCATGCAGCTAAAATTCATTGCGGCCAGGATGCCAAGCGCCTGGTACCTGACTCAGGCCTTTTCTTCTTTCATCTGCCCACCTGCCTGGCCAGGGAACACATCTGCCTCTTCCCACCCATGGGCCGTGAGCTGGTCTGGGGTGAACCACCCACGGCGAAAATTAGAGCTGTTGCCTACTTTTCAGAATTAACTCAAGCAAAGGGATAAAACTGCCTCTACGTTAATCTTTCAATTGCCAGCACTTGCTGCTGCTCTTCTGCCAGGGAGCTTCCGGAAAACAAAAACAAACAAGCTAAGAGCAAACGTGAAAGAGGAAACCTGGGAACAGCTCAGACAAGCTTTGTTTGATAGTTTTGGGGAACGTGGGGCAGATAAAAGTGGGGGTCAGATTCCCTGGGAGGAGAATTCTCCCGGTCTTCCTGAAGGCATGTATTCTGTAATGATCTTTGCATGGTGCCCGGTGGAAGGACTTCAGAGCCTGGATGGTCTGCCTTTGACAGCTTTCAGAATGACCGCAGGTCACTACAGAAACAAGGCATCTCCATACGCAAATGCTTACTGGAAACAATGACAGCAACAAAGCAAAACTGCTATTTGGTACATACAGGTGCGAAGGGCATGGAAAACTTGGTCATGCACTCCTGCAAAACTCGCTTCAAAATACAAATGTTTGCAGCGAGAGATTTAGGGTTAGAGGGTTGGGGGCTGGGTGGCAGCTGAGCCAAGGGGCAACTGAGAGATCCTAAGCAATTCTGCTATCTATCACTTTGAACATCTGCCGCCCATCTGGAAATGGAGTTTTGTGACGAGTCTTTCCCAGCAGCATACACAGCACATGAGACAGATTTAATAAGACGACGCACGTAGAAGAGGGTTTAGTGTTCCACTGCAGAAACTGCTGGTCCCTGCAGTACCTTTCACTCCCTAACAGCGTATCACTTGCTGTCACCCTCATCTTTTGCCCCTCATCACACTGTGAACATCATTACAGGGCTGGGTCCAATTCACCTCGGAAATTCTATATGCACATAGGGCACAGCTCAAAAAGTATTTATGACAGCATTTTCCACGAGACATCACATCAGTGGCGGAGGAGTCCCACTCAACACCACTCTACCTGTGTTAAAACTCCCCTCAGGATGGTAATGAGGTACTATGAGCCAAGGAGGAGAAGTAACTCGATTTTCTGCACCTGAAGTTCAGTATAATGAGAAAAAAAAATTCCACTAGGATATCTCCCTGGCGTCTCAAGGACTATTTTCAATTTAATTGGAATCCTTGTATTTCCACGTCCAATTCTATTTCAGCTAATAGCTATGCCAAGTGCTTTTGCAGCTTTTTGACAGTTTCCCACTGTAAGAAACATGTATGAAACACCTATGAACATCATGCCCATTATACACACCTGTGTACAGCTGAAATAAGTTTCTCAAAACAGCACTCCCTCTAGCACGTGCGATGTGCTTTTACATTTCTTAGTCTCTATTGATTTGATTTTTAAGTGCTAGTTTTGAGCCCCTGAATTGAATTGATCTCACCTCCCACAGATGGGTTGCAACCTGCAATTTGAAATTCCCTGGCTGCATTCTAAATAGCAGCAGGCTAGAACAGGATGCCTCCAGGGACTGTTGGGCGCCGCATGCGGCTACCTTGGAGTTTTGTGGTTTTTGCCTCTGCAGCCTTTCCTAAAAATGGCCTACCCTCCAGCCCCATCATCCTTCCCCTGGAAAATTTCAGTAATGGCTAATAATTATAAAAGCAGATAGTGTCATTTAAATACCTACTGTTGGGAGTGTTTTACATGTATCAATTCAACCCACACAACAATCTGAGGGGTTTGGTTCTATATCATTCCCACTTCACAGATGAAGAAACTGAGGCCCAGAGAGGTTAAGTCACTTGCCCAAGGTCACACAGCTAGTGAGTGGCAGAGCCAGGGTTTGGCTCCAGGCCTCTGCCTCCAGAGCCCCCGACCCTTAACTGCTTACTCCTCCAGGGAGCTCTCGAACTTCTCCCCCTGCCTCTGCCATCTCTCTCTGCCATGCAGGGAGAATGGCATTCCCCAAATGACCATCTGACCCCGAGGCTTCCCTACTTAAGTCCCCTAAAGCTTGTTCCCCATTGTATTCAGAATTGAGCCATGCAGCGGAGTTGGCCACTTGGCCCCTCTGGAACTTTCTGACTCACCCACTCCATCCCCAGCACAGTGATATCCTCTGTGTTCTCCCAACCTCTGTGCTATGGCCGATGCTGTCACTCACGCCTCACATGCCCTTCCCAACAAGGCCCAACTCACACGGCCTCAGCTCTCTGTAGCTCTCCTCAACTCCCCCAGCCCCCTGAACACACGCTGGGGGGTTCGCACACTCCCCCATGTCACCCCACATCCGGGTTTAGAGTTATTTGTTTTTTATCAGTCGCCCATGTCTGCATTAAGAGCTCCAGACCCCAGGAGCCCTGCATCAGCCAACTCTTGTCCTCAGGCTGTGGCCTGGAGCTGAGGTCCTCAGGCACAAGAGCTTCCAGCAAGTGTGCAGCCCCCACCCCCACATCCCCGCACGCCCCAGGCCCTGCAGTCACTACCATGCACCATGAACTTAGGATCTCTCTAACCCTCCTGACTGGGCTCTCCCGGGCCCGCCCTATACTGTCTTTGTCCACCTGCAGCTGCTACTGAGTTCCAGCAGCTCTGCAGTACGGGAAACAGGGACTGGAAAGGAGAAGGAAACGTACCTGGCTGGCCAGCTCCCCCTGCAGCGCTGCCAGCTTCTCCTGGGCCTGCAGCCAGGCGCTCCTCTCCTGAGCCACGTGGGTGCTCAGCTGGTCCACCTTCCGGAGGAGTTTCCTCTCTGACAGCTCCAGCTCCTGAATTCTGCAGCATGAAAAGCAGGGAGGCACTTGCTCAGGTGCAGTCAACATGGCCTAGGGCTTTCGCAGACCCCGGGGCCAAATTATTATTATTATTGTTTTCGTCATTTGGTCAATTCGATGTTCTGGCAAAATTACGTTTTGCATAATATTCATGGATATAGTTCTAAAGATTATCTACATTACTTCAAAGACGTTATTTGAACAATTAGGTACCATGCATCAGAAATCTTCAATGTCCTCACACCAAAGCCAGTAATTGCAGATTCAGGTAATGCCAATTAAGAGTGCCTGAGCTTGAGCCATTTAGGCTAAGAGCTTTAACTTGGTGGTTTCAATGAATCCTCACATTACCAGCTGCAGGTGGGTTCTGCTACCCCTACTTCACACATGAGGAAATAGGATCAGAGGGGGCAGACTTGTGCCCAAAGTCACACAGCATTATAGAATCTAGTTGGTCTTACTTCTGGACTTGAGACTCTGCTCTGCTGTCTCCCATTTTAGCTACGTTCTTATAAACCTAAGGAATGATTGAAATTCAGAAAAAGATTTCTACAACTGAAAAAAATTAATCTCTGCATCACTTACTCTTCCAGATGAGAAGCTGGAAGTGGCTTAACTGTCTATTAGGAATGGCTAAGTCACAGGAAGGCTAAGTCACATGGTCTTACAAACATACTGGAGCTATGTCACAAGCAGACGTGAACTCAGACTGGATGTGAACCCTGATTGCAGCTCTGTGGGAGGAAGACACAAGCAGGGTGGGGGCAGAAAGTCCAGAAAGAAAGCCCGGGCTCCTGGACCCATGGGGAGAGAAGGCACTGAAAAGACTGGCCTGTCTCCCATTGTGCCTAGTTTCCAAGTCCCCTTAATGTGTCAGTCTTGCCTCTATAATAGAAACCATGATACACATGAAGGTGCATTCATAGCCTCCGTGCCTAAGCTCTGCATATCCTCACTCCTCCCCAAGTCCCTGCTGGACACCTGCACATCCAGGACAGATACTGCTGCCCTGGGTGAAGAACTAGCTTTGCCTGCCGGCTCTGCAATTCACCAGCCATGGGGCCTTAGCAGGGCTAGTTCAGCACTATGACCCTCCGTAACTTTATCTATAGAGGTCATTAACCTTGTTCAGTAGGTTTTCATGAAGATTAAATTACATGATGCATTATTATTAATGATAAGGCCAAGAGTCCCTCTCCTATTCCAGTTCTCATGCCCTGAGGAAAGGTCTCAAGGGTGGCAGATCAGAGCGTGCTTTCTCGTGAGGATCATAATCAAGCTCCTTCCAAACTGGACCACAGGAGCAGCTCCAGTTAGCCAGTCAGGCTGAGTGCTTTCTGATGCGTTATATGATATGGGGAGATTTGCTAGGAAAAACAAAAGCCTTTCTTTCTAGTTCTGAGACCAGTCTGTAACAATAACTATGAGAACAATAGTTAATTCTGATATGATTCCTAATCTTAAACGAAGCAGAAAATGACAAATTTTACTTCGGCAGGGCAAATTTTGGCCCCAAGTTTATCCAGGCCCTAATCCCTGGAACCTATGAATGTTACCTTAAAATGCAAGAGAGACTGCAGATAGGATTAAGTCAAAGATGGTGAGATGGGGATATGGACTCGGATTCGCCGGCTGGTCTCTAAGACCAATCACAAGTATCCTTGAGAGAGGGAGACAGAGAGGGTTGAGTCTAGGGATGGCAGTGTGGCCACCAATGCAGGATTGCATGCAGCTGGCTCCAAAGATGGAGGCAGGGCCAGGAGCCCAGGAATGCAGCTCTAGACCTAGACAAGACCAGGAACTGGATTTCCCCTCCAGCCTCGGAGAGGGCTTGGCTCCACCCACAGCTCGACTAGCTCAGGAAGACTGATTCCCACTTCTGGCCACCAAGCTGTGATGACATGTCACAGCAACTGTGGGAAGCTAATACACTCACAAATACGACATTGACAGTGAAGTATCACTGTTTCCCGATTAAACCAATGACAAATGTGGATGATACTTTTACTGTGTTTTTAGTTTTTTTGTTTGTTTGTTTTGTTTTTTTGAGATGGAGTTTCGCTCTTGTTGCCCAGGCTGGAGTACAATGGCACGATCTTGGCTCACCGCAACCTCCACTTCCCGGGTTCAAATGATTCTTCTGCCTCAGCCTCCCGAGTAGCTGGGATTACAGGCATGTACCACCACACCTGGCTAATTTTGTATTTTTAGTAGAGACAGGGTTTCTCCATGTTGGTCAGGCTGGTCTTGAACTCCTGACCTCAGGTGATCTGCCCACCTCGGCCTGCCAAAGTGCTGGGATTACAAGCACCATGCTGGCCTAGTATCGTTTTCAGGATTATGTTAATACTTGTCAAGCCTGTGAACAGTGGCTTGGTACTGAACAAGTACTCGGTAAGTGCTTAGCTGTTATTAATTTTACTGTATGTAGATGAGGAATAAATATGCAACATGATAGTGTTATGAAGATGGGAGTGGGATTTTCTTCACATTTCTAACAAAGCTGTTATATTATTTTGAGAAGAAATACTTTTGTGCTTCAACTCTTTATTTAAAGCAAATCCAAGACATACTACCTGGCTTTTCCCCACTAGACCCAAACACATTGTGACATTTGCCTGAAATCCGTGCTCAGAATCGTGCTTTCAGACCCTGGCCTCAGCTTTCGGCAGCGCTGAATCACTTAGTATTTCATCCCTCAGCCTCAGTTCACTCGTCTGTCAAAGGCGCTGATGTCACTCTATGCATCACAGGGTCCAAGAGAGCCAAGATGGGGCAAGTATGGGAGGGGCAAGTATGGGAGGGCTTAGCCCTGTGCCAGCTCCCTTTTCTCCTCCCCTGGCCCCTCTCCTGCAAGATGGTGTACCTCATCTTTAAAGAGAACAGAGGATGAGCCCTCATTCCCCCACAGGCCCGGTCAGAGGCCCCTCCTCCCCACGGCTCATGGGCACTCTGTCTCCCCCTCCCACAGAGGGGTCTCCTTTGGCTGGGGTTCCCTGCCTGTCTTCCTGGGGTCCATTGATCTTCTGGTTTCCACCACCAACCTTTCTAGAAGATTTGAATGTACAACCCTGTATGGGCCTACGCTGCTAGTCTCTCGGGCCAGGGCCCTGCCTTTCCCAGCTCTCAGCACCCAGGACTTCTGATATGGGCTCAATGCATCCCTGCAGAGTTCCTGTGTTGAAGGCCTAACCCCCAAGTTCCTTAGAATGTGATTATATTTGGAGATAAGCCTTTAGAAAGAGGCAATTAAGTTGAAAGAAAGTCATGAGCATGGGCCCAGATTCAACCCGACTGGGGTCCTTATAGGAGGAGGAGATGAGGACACAGACACACACAGAGGGGTGCCCATATGACAACACAGGGAGAAGGTGGAGTCCACAAGCCGCGGAGTGAGGCCTCAGGAGAAACCAACCCTGCTGACCCCTCGAGCTTGGGCTTTTGGGCTCCAGAAATGTGAGAAAATAAATTTTTGTTAAGTCACCCAGGTCTGCAAATAATGTCATTTCATTATAACGCTGATGATAAAAAAAAAAAAAGATTCCCAGCCTGGGCCACTGTCTATGTGGAGTTGGCCCATTGTCCCTATGTCTGCATGGGCTTTCTCGGGGTACCCTGGTTTCCTCCCACAGCCCCAAACTGCACATTAGGTGAGCTGGCCTGTCGACACAGTCCCAGCCTGCGTGATTGTGCGCGTGGGTGTGAGTGTCCTGTCCAGGCCTTGCACCCTGAGCTGCCGGGAGAGGCCCCAGCCACCTGTAACTGGAACAACTGGTTAAATAATCATCTTACTTGTGTTTTTTTGAGTCTTTCTTAAATTTAAATTTGTTTGAGTCTTTCACATTGATTTCAATGTTTAACATTAGAAGTGGTTGGGGTCTTTATTTGAAAGTTTGGTGATGTTTTTGTGACCTGAAATATGCTGTAGGAACTTAACTCTTATTTGTATCAATTAGCCTATGGTCAAATTACTTTTGTGGCGGGGCGTGGTGGCTCATGTCTATAATCCCAACACTTTGGGAGGCCGAGGCAGGCAGATCCCTTGAGGTCAGGAGTTCGAAATCAGCCTGGCCAACATGGTGAAACCCTGTCTCTACTAAAAATACAAAAATTAGCCTGGCATGGTGATGGGCGCCTGTAGTCCCAGCTACTCGGGAGGCTGAGGCAGGAGAATCACTTAAACCCAGGAGGTGGAGGTTGTAGTGAGCCAAGATTATGCCATTGCATTCCGGCCTGGGTGACAGAGTAAGATTTTATCTCAAACCAAAGCAAAATAATAAACAAAAACAAATTGGTTTTGTTGTATGTTGCTTCACTTAGTCACAGTTTCCAAGAACCTATGGACAAAATTCAGTGAGGCCTTACTGTGCTTTGTCATGGCAACCCAGGCAAACTAACATAACTTAGTATATGACTCTTGGAGGGTAAGTGTGTTGCTGAATGAATGAAAGAATGGGCAATCACATAGAGTAACAGAAGAATTTCTCTGATTTGTGAATTTCTTCATGCATAAAATTTCACCAAAGGGAAGAAAAGTGAATCATATGTGCATCCACATTCAATGGCCTGCCTTTACTGAAACAAAGGCAAGTACAAGAAAATGGGGAAGTCCTACAAAAATCCAAGGCACTGGCTGCAGGGATATGAGTAGCCTGTCAGAATCAATCCCCGCCACCACTGCACTGTGCTTCCATGCTGGGTGTCTCTGATCTACATGCAAGGCCTAACCTCGTTCTGCCAGTCTGGGTGTCAAGACATCATCAGGAAACAGGATGGGCTTTAGAGAAAGACCTGGATTCAAATGCCCCACTTTGAGACGAGGTCAACTCCATCAGGCAAACAGAGCCCACACCAGGAAGTTCTACAGAGAGAAACGAATGCAGAGAACCTATTTCAAAGATGACAGCAGAGTCCAAAGGCCAGACAGAGATGACAAGCAGCCTGGATCAGCAACTGCCGGAAGCCACCTCTGCCCCGGGGGCTGGACGGTCACACAAGGAAGAGATGATGTTACCAGGGCAGGGCAGAGCAGCCAGGCCACCTAGTGGGAGCTGGGACCACAGAGGAAGCTGAGAGCACGTCTGAGTTACAGCCACAGTGGGAGATGTCACTGTGGGAACAAGAGCAACTTTATTTTAAATGCTAATCCAGCACGTGACTCTTGACTAACCCTGAGTCCACGAATGCCTCCAAGATGTGGACTTGATGTAGTTCTCTTTACGTAGAAACACCTATTCATTGTGAGTTTCCACCAAAACAACCCCTGTTGTTGCAGAAACCATAGGCTGTGATTCCCGTAGCCACCTACGCAAGCCTTCCAGAGCACACATGCTTTTTCCCCAGGATATAAGCCCTGGGTTGGGGGTAGAAGGTTTGCTGCATGGACATCTATTTGTCTGGCAGCTGCCTAAAATCATGCTTCTGTCTGCAAGTTCCCCGAAAAAAATCACCCCAAACTGACCAACTGGATTTGTCTGCCTCTTGCTTTGGTTTCTCCGTTTCTTCTGTCCTTCTGGGTCACTTTGTACATATGACCCTTTCATGGAACAGTCACCCAGAGCAGAAGAGAGGGAAAGGACCTGGCTTCTCCCCGCCTCCCTCCATTTCAGGGCCTCCCGTTGGCTGCACCTCCATGGAAGTTTTTGAGCAGAGGAGCCCAGGCAGCCTCGCCTGCAGGTACAGAGCCAAAGGAGGAGGGCGGGAGAAGCAGAAGGCAAGTGACTGCGTGGGCAGGTTACGTGCCTGTGGAGAGGCGGTTTCCCCAACTTCGTGGTGTGATTCAACACACCATGGTGACACACTCTGATGGCCCTGGGGTTTGTGAAATACACACAGAGAGATCAAAATGGCATCGCTACCTGCTTCTCAGCCCGGACTCTGGTGTCACGTACTTGTCCACCGCTGCTGACAGCTTCTGCTGGGGGGACTCCAGCTGCCTCCTGAGGGCCCCCGTATCCACGTCTGGGTGACCAGCTGCCTCTTCCTGAAGACATGCCTGCTCCTCAGCACTATCTTCCATGTCCTGGAATATCCAGGATGTGTCAATCTTCACATCAACGTTCATTATGTCGAACCCCTCACTGCTGGGGGCTCTGATGACATAGCTGAAACTCTTCTCAGTCCGTCCCTTAGCTGTTGGCTCCATCTCGAAAATATTTCATGGGGGCAAGACTTAATAATAAAATTAAGTGAGTTTGCAACATTGACTCCCTGGAGATTTCAAGGTGGTGGTTGTGACTTCAGATTGTTCAGGAGAATATCCTTTGAGAAGGGCAAGAACAGGTGGATTATTCATGAGTGGGTGACTTGGGTTTCATCTGCACAAGCATCATACAATATGAATGAAAGCCTCTCATTTTACAAGTCAGCATGCCAGAACTCACGCGAAGCAAGAAAAAGTTGCAGACAAATCACATGAGATGAAATGCCTAGTGATAAACACAGAGAGGAAAAATAAGATCTCCAGGTAAGGCCATCAGATGTTGGAGACGCCCAGTAGTCAATGAAGCTCATCTTTTCACCACATAATGAATAAATTTCCACACCTCCTCTCTGAGTACAGCACATACTTTTCAAGGACCTAGAGTTTGCTAGGGGAAGAGGATGGGAAATTTATGCTGCCCTGGGTGCCGTCTGCACCAGGGGCGGGGGCCTCTCTTGCCTTACCCAGTCCAACTCTCCCGGTGACCCTATGAGGTAGGCGTTAACATGACCATTATACAGAGGGTCCGATGGAGGCTCTGCAAGGTGAAGGAGCTTATCTGGGCCTCACAGGTGGGATGGGAGGTAGCAGAGTCAGGATTCAAATATGGATCTGACTCCCAAACTAGAGAGTGTACGTTCTGACACAGGAGATACGGTAATAGGTGAGCAACAAGACCCCAAAGCAGGAGCAAATGCGTCCTTTGGGCACCCAGAGGAGGGGGAGGGAGCCCCAGGCTGAAGAGATCATAGGAGGAATGGTGCATTACAGCAGAGAGAGGTGGGGATGGGACTCCCCCAGGTGGGGAGGATCCTCAGGCCACTGCCCCCCACAGAGAGGCAGGACAGGTGAAGGGAACGGGAGGACCAGACTGAGCTGGCCCAGTGGACACACAGAAGGAGGAAGTGGGGAGTGAGGACAGAGGAGGCTGGGTGCCATCCTCTTACAGGCACTCAAGGACTCTGGCGTTTCTGTGGGCCCCTGGGAGAAGGGAGGTGCCTGGTCAAATGTCATTTTGAGGATCGAGCACTCCGGGTTTGCAGGAGCAAGATGGAGGCAGCTGAACCTGTAGGAGGAGGCAGCACCGCCGGCCAGGCCTGGTGCAAAGAGGCGTCAGGACCAAGACAAACAGAAAATAAGAGGCTTCCGTCTCCCTGTTAAAAATAAGAAATGTCCCCCCTCCCTTTTCTTAGAGCATTTACTTTAGAAAATTTGTAAGTTCTTTCTTTGTCTCTTTGAAATATGTGTAAATCCTTTTTAAAGTGAAATAAGCCTTTTGCCAGTTTTATGACCCAGGAATGTTTTCCTGAAGGACCTGGGCACCGCCTCTTTGGGATGTAAATTCCAAGGAAAACAGCGCCCCTAGTGTTCAGTGGGAAGAAGGAGCCTAATTGGCCAGGCGCCTGGCTCCAAGATGCAAAACCTGTCACAGGAAGTAACAGAAGGGTGGAACCCAGGTGCAGGAGACGTTTTTTTTCCCCTTTGTATCAAACAATGAACACAGAGGGTTCCCCTAGTTGCCAGGTGAGTTTAGGATGAACCACGTGAAACAATGACGCTATTAAGTCCTTTTCCTTAGGGATGAGGGTGAGAGGATGTGTGTGTGGATTGTGCCTGCCTGGCTATCAAAAGGGTGACACTTCTTTCTGTCTTTGCAATCTCTCCGTGGGTTGCCTGTAATGCATCTCATATCTTGGTTTAATGCTTATTCAATAATAAAACTTTTTCTGTTCTTTTGTGATGAGGTTTTCTGCGCTGGGAGAAGCTTTTGTCTTTAATCATATTTTCCCAAAAGTGGCCAATGTCTTGGTGGCCACAAGCGGTTTCAGTGGACCTGGGGCGGTCAGAGGCGGGGGGCGGGGGTGCAGTGGAGCCACTCAGATCCCAGGCGCTGAGACCAGGCTGCCTAGGTTCCAGGCCTGTCTCCATCGCTTCTCAGATGTGATTTTGGACAAATTACTTAACTTCTCAAAAAAAAAAGGAGGGTAAAAATCGTGGCTAAGTGAAGAGCTGTTGAAGAATAAATGAGTCAATCCCTGCAAAGCCCTCAGCAGAGCACCCGGCACACTAAATACAGCATGCTGTCTGCTGGGTGGGGGCCAGACGCAACACCGTCCAGCCGTGTCCAGCTTTCAAGCCTGCTTGCCACATGATCCTAGGCAAGTGACTTGGCCCCTGCAAGGTGAAACTGGCAGCAGTCCCCGCTCCCCGCTGTGGCGATGACTAACTGAGCTCTGGGGAGGTGGCGGGGGGTGGTGGTCGGTCCTGTATCTGCACTGACTGCACCATGAGCCCCGAGGAACATCAGCCAGGAGGAGCCAATGCAGAGCAGGAGGATTGAGTGACAGCTGAAGGCAGCAGCGAGAGACTGAAAAATTACCCCAGGCCCACCAAGGAGGAGGAGATGTTCCAGCCCTTCCTCGGGAGCAGCCCTGAGGGAGGGCACGTCCTTCCTTCTCGCCTAAGGACAGTGAAGCAGGCAGGGCCTCTCCAGGGAAGTGTTCTCAGGTCTTTTAGGTAAGTGACGGAGGCTCTTGGGGGAAGAAGAAGGTCAAACAGAGAAAATCGTGGCCTGCCTATGGTTTACCAACCTCTGTGGTAGCCTGGGGTGGAGATCTGAGCCTGTCAGAAGTGACAGGGCCTGGGCAGGAGAAGGGGACAGATTGATGTGCAGATGTAAGGATGGGGTTCTGACCCCTTGGGATCCTTGGGGAGGTTCCCTGAGACTGAGGGTGGTAACAGGGAGAACACAGGCTATGGAAGAAATCAAGAGTTCTCGTTTCTACTGGAACAACAGCCCCTGAGAGTTGGGGGGAAGCTGGGAGGGAAATAAGGAGGTCTGGCCGTGTGAAGACCTGGACTCCACCCTACTTCAGAGCCGGAATCTGGGGCGTAGAGAAGGGCCCTACAGAAGGCCCCAAGAGTCCCTACAGAAGGCCCTAGGAGTCCAGACAACCAGGCGGGGCAGGAGGGAAGAGGACCCCACAACGGCATGTTTGCCATTTCCCACCCAATTTGGCAGAGCCCTGGAAAACCCTGTTTAAATGTAAGAAAATAACCAAAGGTCAAACTGGCCACTGTTTGTCCTGGGAGTGTCAGGCAGGATTGCTACTGGTTACGGCAGGCGAGGAAGACGCGGGGGCCACAGTCCTGGACGCTCCCGCGGCGGATAGAGGAGCAGCGGATGGGAGCAGATGTTGAATTTGCTTGGGAAGGATGGGGAAGCCGGAGCTAAAGCGGGGCATGCAACCAGCCAGGGTGAGCCTTGCCCCTGACTGGGGAAGAGGCCTGCCCACCCACGCGTTTGTATTCCTCCCCTCCCCTCAGGGCCCAGCACCGAGCTGGGGGCAGGCTGTGTAGGATTTGACACCCTTGAGCGTGAGCTGGCTCTCAGGGCATCCGTGTGAAATACAAAGCCCATTTCACCTAAGTTGCTCAGCGCAGGCACTGCGCTTCAACCAAAACACCTGCGGCCAGCTGCAGACCCGGAAGGGAAGTGGGGTTCGGTGAGAAAAGCCTCACACCCATGGGGTAATGACCTCCCAGTTTGCCCAGGACCTCCTCCATTTTAAAACAGGAAGTCCTGTGTTCCCAGAATCCCCCGCCGTCCTGGACAAATCAGCCCGGCTTGTCCCTGCGTAACTGGTCTCCCGGCCTCAGCCCCGGCCTTGGCTCCTCAGCCGGCAGGAGGCGGCCAGAGTGGCGGTGACAGAACGCAGTCTGACTCCTTGACTTCTCTGCCCCAGGTCCTCCCTGGTCACCTTTGGCCTACAGAGGATTGAGGTGTAAGAGAGAGAAGTGGAAACCTGTGTTTGCACCACGGACATCTCTGTGCCAGGAACATTCGGGGCTGGCTCTCCGCTGAACCTCCCAGCTGACCCGTGGGGAGGGCTATGCTAAAGTGTGGAGCCACACTTCTCCTTTCTACCTGAGGAAGTGACCTTGGGTTCCCCAGACTTTGTAACTCTGCTGCCCTGGAAACCACATACGTGTTACTAGACAACAACATCCAAAGCCCTGGCAGATGTGCCTGACCTGTGCACCGGGCTGCGGATGAGGGGTGAGGGCACTGGGGCACAGCACAGCTCTGAGGCTTCCTGAACACTGGGGTCCTAGCAGCCAGGACTGTGCCTAGCAGGGAGCCGGGAAGCCATGGCTGGGACTGTGACAAGAAATACTGGTACCTAACAGGGACTCTGGATTTCTATGCAGGGAAACCCCCATACCTGCCAGTGTGAGCCTCATGCTTCATCCTGCACCGCCTCCTGGAGGGCCAAAGAGAACGGGTCCTGGCCCCGGGCTGGCTGTATGGACTCCTCTGAGGACAACTCCCAAGGAGAGAACGGAGGATGCTACGTCTCCCACCAGCAGCCACGGTGGCCTGCGGGAGCCTGCGGGTCTAACCCTCCAGCTCAGACCTCTCCCAAGGCCTCACATGGGAACTATCACCACCATTCCTCAGAGCGGCAAGGACATTGTCAGTGTCTGCAGCAGGAAGAGGCCAGGCTGGCAGGGACCAATGGGTCTGACTTCAAAGCCAAGGCCATTTCGGTCACATGATCTCAGTGGGAGAGCCCAGCAGACACAGACACTGCCCTTCACCCACTGAAGGATGGGGACAGTCAGGCGTGAGGACCGCACTCCTGCAGTGGCTGCAAGAGTGCTGGACCGACATTCCAGAGACCCATGGGTGCCCCTAGACTTCTGCCCGCAGAAGTTAGCACAGCAATGCATCCTGTGCTTCCCGGCCGGAAACAGTAGGCGTGCCTTTGTTTTCACTCACTGTGCGATCCCACTCTCCCATCACCCCCTGGGCTGCTAGGATGCCTATGTTTTCCACCGACATCAGTTTGTTCATATTTCACCAAGTATTGGTAAGTTACGGAGGCTGAGCTAGTGGGTGCTTTGGGGTTTTGATTTCAAAAGAGAATGAGTAATGCTGGGCCATCCTGATGCATTTCTGCTTAGAGATGGATCCTGGCATGTGGTGTGAGCAGCCCTCCCCGGCTGGCAGGGCCCTTTCTGTGCAGGGCACCGTGTCCTTCTCCATCCGTGGATCTGGTCTTCTGAGAACTTCTAGCTCTTCTGTCGCCCTCATCCCATGAGTTTCTTCAACCGCCTAAATTTCAGTCGTTTCCCTTTTGTCCAAAGGTCTTTCTCACCAGAGACCACAGACCCGCTCCTTCCACCTGATGAGCAGGGCCTGAGCCCGTCCACCTGCAACCAGCTGAGGATGACCCAGCCTGGCCTTCAGCCGGCTTTTCCCATGCAGACACAGCCAGCCTCCTCGTCACATTCAGTCTTCTGTTTCACTTCATCTATTCTAATTCCAAACGTCTTCCCGTGCAGAAGTTTGGGAGAGGCATCCTGTGAGCAGGTGGCTCCTTCTGGAGATGCCCCCACCCCACCCAGCCTAGAATAACAACAGGAACATCATCGGAAAGGAACTTGGGGAATTTCCTCCTGGGCTGACCATCCTCAGCTGGTGTCTGACTCTCTGTAGCTGCCCCACTCCATCCGCTCTCCAGGGAGGCCTCCAACACCCTGACAGCTCTCCTGGCTCCATCCAGGGGTGGCCTCCCAAGGCAGGAAGAGCTCACTTCCTCCCCACAGTGGTGACAGCAGGACCTGGTCTCGGGGCCACTATGGAAATAACCTAGTTCCTGCAGGTGCTCCAGCATCTCCTCCTTGGCACCCCCTTGCAAATTACCACCAAGATGCAACACAGGCCCAAGTGTGGCCTGGTTGGTGGTCATGTCTGCTCTATCAGTCCTCAGTCCACCTGGTCCCAGGGACAGTCATGCTCTGAGACTTTTGCCGTGTCACACCCACAAGAGTGACAGAGCCCTCGGCCTCCCCTCGGAAATCTGAGGTCCCTGGGGTCGGCTCCTCCATGATGGGCAAGGCTCCAGCCCCTCATCAGAGTCCTGCCCTCTCTCTCTGGCTGCCAGCTGCTGAATCCAGCTGTGAACAGATTCAGAGGTTTTGCTGAGCAGGACTTGAACTGGGGTTCACATTACAAGGACACTTGCAAGTCGCTCCGGCAGACAAACTCTGGGACGAACACAGCACGGTTCGTGGAGATTTATGTACACAGGGCAGAGACGGCACCCACCCGGGTCCAGCTGGACACGCACACTGTGGCCTGGGGAGGCATCTAGCGTGGGGATGAGGACTCGGGCCTGTCCCCAGACAGTGCAGTGGCTGCCGATCCCTTGGTTTCTGGTAATTGCACTTAGTTTCCTGGCATTCGGGTCTCTGCCCTCTTGGGCCTTCAAGGTGCCAGAGCTGGGACATGGATGTGGCTCCAAGTCTGACAAAATCCCCATCGTCCCTGCAGAGTCCTTACGGCTTGGGCTGGCCAGGACCCAGCCATACGTCCAAAGGCTTCCCCTTAAAGCTATTGTCAAATATACATAAATTCTGTTTGCAGTCTCTGGACTTTGAATAGCTTGTTTCGCTGTTGAATTTGGTTTGAGTGGGGTTGGGGTTGCCGTAGGGACTCAGTTTATTCCATAAACTCTTTTTCTATCCTGAAAGATTAAAACATAATTTGAAACGACACAAGAACCAAGGGTTAAAATGACTGCAGGATCCCTTGGCTTTATCTGCCCCCTCCCCCCACTGCTGTCATGAACACTCCAGCTGAGCCCTGAGGGACCTTCCCCCACAACCCAGGAGAAGCAGCAGCAGCAGCAGGATCAGATTACCCATCCCCTAATACCCACCCACCCCCTGTGGCCACCCCCACCTCTGATCAGATGGGACTGAGTGTCAGCTGTCCTCTAAGACCTGAGATCCTTCCTTTACTCAGTCCATAAACATCGAATGAATATTGACCATGTGTCCAGCACTGTCCCAGACACTTGGGTACAGAAGGTACCAGACCAAAGCCTTTATGGACTGGGGTCAGCCTCAGGGACGCCCATGAGGACATCAGGCAGGGCCCTGGCCTCGGAGCTCAGCCCAAGGGGTCCAGGTAGCTACCTGGTGGGTGCTGTAGGTATCCCCGGAACCCAGGGGGCCCTCAGCCTGGGCTGGATTCAAAGACAGAACTCTAGAGTCTATGGGTCCTGGCAGCCCCTGGCTCTGAAATGGTCACTCTCAGGGAGAATGTGCAAGGGTCCAGGTGTCTAGGGTGGGAGCTGGGTCCTGGGGACACACAGGGCTCAGTGGTCAGAGGAGGACCAGATGCTGAGGTGGCCTTGTTCCAGAGGTCCCTGAGCATGGCACAGGTGTCAAAACCCAGCACAGGACAGGGGTGAGAGGGAGCTGGATGGCTTCTTACATGGGCACCCTGGGCACTTTGCACATAAGTGGCAGTCTGGGCCCTTGAGCCATTTGTCCAGCAACCTCCTGCTCCTGCAGCCCTTGAACCTGGAAGCCAAAGACTCTGGACTCTACAGAGGACTTACTGGTCCACACGGCAACTGAGAGCACCAGGGACTGAAGCCAAACTGGAGAGAACCTTTAGAATAAAACAGAGTCCCCCTTTGTGGATGAAACTCCACAGAGGAGATTCTTCTTCACAGTGAGCCTCCCTGATGCCCCTCCTCAGGGCGGGTCTCCCCGGGTGACCCAGCCCCGTGAGCTGAGGCGTCCAGCACAACGCCACCTTCCACAGTGCCTCATCTCTCAAGGAGCGGGACCATCAGGGGCTGGGAGGACTCCTCCCGTTTTAGAAAATCCTCATTTTCATCTGCGAAAAGGAAAGGATACCAACCCGAGGTCTTGGCTCACTGAAGTCATCAAGGCCACAGAATGAATGCTAGTGAGAAAAACAAAAAAAGGAACAAAAACTATAAAATAATACCAAAAGAAAATGAGGAAAAGAGAAGAAAAAGAAAAGAAAACAGATGTAAGATATGTAGTATGGAACTCAATGACAGCATTTTACAAGAATTATGACACTGAGTTGTTGGGTTGGGAAAGAGAAATGGGAAGTAAACAGGCCTTAGGGACTGATCTCCCCTGGGAAACGCATCCTGGGGCCTTCCACCCTTAGGGTGGGTTATCCCGACCCCCTCCCCAAACATGTGGCTAACTCAGACAGGGGAGACTGACACTCTGGACTGGGACAGGTCTTTTTGGTGCTGTGATGTGGACTTCATGCAGAACGTGGGCAGGCCAGTATAAATAGAGGAAGGCCCAGCCAATGGTCATGGTCAGTGGCTCCCACCAAGAGACGGGGGCATGATGTGTGCACCAAAGATCAGGGTAAATTCCACTCAAGGTCACCCAGTCCAACTTACAGACCAGTAGAGCCCTTTCCCCTATACCACACTTGCCCAGCCCTCTACCCACGGGCCCCATGTCGCTCAGGGCAGCTTTGAATGTGGCCCAGCACAAATGTAAACTTCCTTAAAACATGATGAATTTTTGTTTTGCAATTTTTTTCTTAGCTCACCAGCTATTGTTAGTGTTAGTGTAATGTATGTGTGGCCCAAGACAATTTTTCTTCCAATGTGGCCCAGGGAAGTCAAAGACACCCCAGCCCTATAACAACTTTACCAGGGTTCTTTCTTCCAAGAGAGTCACTGTTTAAAATCTTTCATGTCATTTGATTAGTTTACTTACAGAGAAAAAAATCAGGGAAAAATGGTCTTAACAGGAGGAAAAATTAAACACGTCGACTTAAAAGTAGAATTCTTTTCTTACCCTTTTCAGGACTTGCTTTGTTCAAAAGAAGTTGCAAGTCATTAGGTGAAACATATCTGAACATCAGCTGGGGCTTTTGAAAATAATCCTTGAGTTGGTCTTTTTTCCCCCCAAAACAAGGTAATATCTCCTTATATTATTTATTGGAAAAGTCCAAACTAACAGCCATCAACTTCTAAACAAGGTGTAGGATCACTGGAAGTCAGAGCTAGAAGGGGCCTTGGGAATCACCCAGCCCTTCATCTTCCACATGGGGAAACTGAGGCCTGGGGAGAGGGAAGGATTCATTAAGACCATCCAGTGGGGTGTGGCAGGAAAGAGTTTCAGGCAATGACAAAGGGACTGATGAGCCAGGGATAGTGGTGGCTGGAGCTGTTTCCACAGTCACAGGCCCCAATGCCTATAAGGAAATGAAGGTGGCATGAGGCATCTTGGAAGGTTTCTAGCCCTACAGGCCTCATCAGGCGTCCATCCTGGCCAGTCCCTCCTGCTCTACATGCCAGCCTCCACAACTCCCTTCTGCAGCAAAAGGAGACAGACCAGTCCCCAAACATTGGCTTTGAGAAAAGAGTCAAAACAGAGCCAGAAAGAGGATTCCAACATTACCCAGGTATTCTCACTGCTGAGGATATAGTGAGTATTATTTTAAGTGTGTGCTCATTGCACCTG